ATGATAAGATAGGGACGAAACGAAATCTATCAAGAAAATAGGATAAGGGCTCAAAGATAGTCTCACGGATGAAATATGATATGTATCTAAATTGTCTACCATATTCTTACTAGTGATGACTCGGGACCGTGACCTGCATGGGCCACCAAAAAAACCTGTCACGCCCCGCTTCCCAAAATACCAGGGAATCGGGACGCGAGCAAGCCCGCGACGTATTAGACTGAGGAGAGATAAGTGCTAGACCTCTTCTTCTCAATCTAATACGCTAAGCGTCTGAAAATAAAACAATGCGAAGTCACAGGTCCCCGATCACAATAGCAAGAATATAAAGACAACCCAGAATAAGGAAATATCATATCACAAATGGGATAACATCCGAGACATAAAATACGGGTCAAACATGCCCTTATTACAAAATAGTCCAACTAGGAAATAAGAAATACATAGTCCATAAAGAAAATATTGTTAAAATACTAAGTCCAACATCAACTAAAGAAAAGTACGGTAAAAGAGTTTTAATGTCTAACTACTACTACGGAAGAAAATCACTACGCTTCAGTTGGTTCTTCTACTCCTTCTGCAAGACACCACTGCTAAGAATCTTCTGGCTCCTGTACGATTCCGAACTGAGGCTGTCCATCTCTTAAATTTGACGTACACCCAGAAAATAGGAGTACATCAGTGTGTGGAACACACGGCAAGATCCCACTCGGGAAAATAATAATACAGTCGAATGACCAATGCAAGGACAGTAATAACAAATAGAAACATGCAGCTGAAATACTAACAAGCTAGATATAATCCATCACTAGAGTATAATAATCAGAAAAAAACATAAACATCCGAGTAACAAGATCATACAGCTAGCCATCCTATAATCATCCACATAACAATGTCATACAACTAGATGGAATTAATATTTAAAAATCTACAACAAGAGACGTAGTACGTCGAGCGAAATAATCCAAACAAGGAAACCCTCATGTATATACCATATGTCTCAAATTATAGATAATTAAATATTAATCCAAGAAAACAACTGATCTATATCTCACAAGAATCCATAAATCCTAACCAAAGTGACGACACTGATTCACTTTTATCCAACAACCAACCCTAGTGGCGACACCATCCACTAGTAACAAGTCATGTAACTAGCCATCCTATAACAGATCACTGGTTCATATCTCACACAGAGTCAACGCTCATATTATCGGATAACTGACTGTTCGCATATCCCCCACGTGCATCCAAACAAATAAATTCATGAACCAAAGTAGCGACACCGATCTACTTTGCCCCAACCAACCAGCCCCCAGTGGCGACACCGATCCACTTTGACTCAACAAATCAATAAATCCCAGTGGCGACACCGATCCACTGTGACTCAACAAACCAACCAATCCCAGTGGCGACACCGATCCACTGGTACGAACCTGGAAGATATATCAACAGTCTTATCCGATTATATAAACATAGACTTTCCCATCCCAACTCTTCTTATTTTCTAAGTCAGCAATACACAGGTAATCTAGGTCTTGTACACGACACGCTAGGCAACTAAGGATATGGACTACTAACGGTTCTCAACAAAACAAGAAATAATAAATAAATACAACTAATTCTACAATAGTTTCATGGCATATCACATAATTAAAATTAAGAATTATAAATCATGAACAATAACTGTGAACAATGCAGTATGTATGAACAGTATAGCAAGCAGTAACAGTACATAGTAAAATACGTGAACTGTGAGTGCATTAAAATATAATTCTATACCTCAAAGCATGAGTTTGATGTGGATGGCAATGATATCAAATATAACTATTATAGGTACTTGAGTAATGGTGTGAACTATTTGTGGATTGTGAACGACTGTTGTGAATCACAAAGATTAGGAACTAATACTGGACATTACCATAAATAGCGGAACAAGTTGAACAAAGTGGTGCAAGCATGGTTTCAGTGTACTTATTCATAATTTATTTATCACACAATATGTTATTGCTACTAGTGATTTTTCTTAGTTTATGCATCTATATAGTTAGTTTCTACATCCCCATGTCCTCCGGATGCTCCACTTTCATTTCCAGCATTTCTACCTCTTCACACATGTCACTCACCCATCATTTATACAATCGTTAATTAGTCCACATTGTTTCAGTGTCTACATTTCTGCACAGCATTATCATTCAAGTATTACTCGATGCTGGGTGATATTCGCAGTTTGCATCATATATAAATTAAAGAAGTGAGATCTTGCCTCGGGGGTGAAGGAAACGGCGTTGCCAAGCTGAGCGGATCTGAAGGCGGTGTGGATCGTCGAAGTTAAAGGGGAGGAGCTCGCGACGGCTTGGATCTGGCGGAGGGAGCTCAGGGCGGTTGAGGGGCTGGTGGTCGCGGGGAGCTTGGGGAGTCGACGGCAAGATAGGGGTGATGATGGTGACGGGTGAGCAAGGAAAATGTGAGAGATAAGAAAAAGTCGGCGTGAAAAACGAGGATGGGAGAGGGAGTGGTATACGTGGGTATTTATATAGGGTAGGGTTAGACCATCTCCAATGGTAAGGCAAATATTGCCTTTCTCTCTCCTTCCACCTCACTTTATTCTCCCTCCACATCACTTACCTTTTCCAATTGCCTTTCAACTCCACGACAACTAGTTTTTCAAAAGTTTTTCACTTTATCTTTCCTCCACATCACTCAACCATCTTCTGACACGCGGGGCCCTTGGTGAAATTTAACCGGTAGGCAAATTTTGCCTTTTCTCTCCCCTACTTTTCATTTGCCTATCCACTTGCTTAGCCATTGCACCAAATAATTGTCGTAGGGTAAGGATTTAGGTATTTAAAATAATTAAAATAAAATAATTACGGTATTTAAAAATTAAACTAATTACAGAATAATTATCTACAAATAAAAACATACATATAGTGCTATTACAACAGTTGATACGAAATAGTCAAAATACACACGTATTGTACCATTTAACGAGAATAAGTAATAATAAAAATATATTTACTAACATTTAAAATTAAATAATTATGGGAAAATTACCTACACAATAAAACGTACCAGTTGTGCTAATACGACAGCTGATAGGCAATAATTAAAATAATACCATAATTTGCACAATTAATATGTAATTAATAATTTCACATAACTCACGAAATAATGCGTAATTATAATAATAATACAATGTATTATTTAAAATAATTATATAATAGTACCGATAACACAATAGATTAATTCTAGAAATTTTCACCGAACGAAATTAATTTATACTTATTAAATTATTTTAAATAAATATAAGATTTAGACTTTTAAATAGTAAAAATTCTAAAAAAATTCGGGAAAATACAAATACTCTTTTGAAAATCATACTTAAATATTTTAAAATACTAGAAAATTATTTTAACTAATATCAAAATTTCATGGTCCTTACACGAGTAGACATAATCCAAGTGGACCTAGGGTCGGCATTGAGCATTATCCCCCTGAAGCTTATCAAGCATTTAGGTACCTCAGAAGCGGTTGTCTTCAACAAACACCATCATCTTTAGCTTTAACGCCACCAGAACTAGGCCGCTTGAGAAGATTCACCTCAAGTACCGACTGGGTGACATGAAAACTGAGGTGAACTGCTATGTAATCGACACGAAACCCTCATATAACATGCTATTGGGTTGACCATAGATCCATAGCAATAGGATAGTCTCATCCATATTGCACTAGTGCTTAAAATATGTGGACGACTATGACCAGGTGAAGACGGTGGTTGTGGATAAGCAACCCTTCAAAAGGATCAAAAACTACTTTACCGACACCCTGCTCTACCAAGACTCTAAACCGTGAAACAAACCACAGGTCAAGGAAGAGGGCAACAGTAATGAGGCTAATAGTGAGTTTGGGTGCAATGAGGGTCTTGTCTTAAACGACATTGAGCCTATTGTACTCGGCTACGAAGGTCTTGCTGTAACCGACGCCGACAAGGCAGATGGACTCACCCTCAACGATGAACTCGCATTTGCTTACTTGTCACCTGGTGCAGGATCTGTTGATGGCGAATTCAGCAACTCGATCTCAAGGATGTA